CCCACATGGTTTTCCTTTCATGAGGGATCCACTCAGGCGCCGGCTCCTCGTTCTCAGAAAATGCTTCTATGTTCTTTTCCATCAGCTGCTCGGCCTCCACCTCCATGACCCCAACCCCAATCCTCCCTCAAAGAAGAGGATTCAGGCATTGGCTAGTACTCATCATCAGCGGTGATGCAGCCTCTTTGGAGATTGTCCCCTCATCTTCTGGAGAGGACGTTTTCTTCATCTTGGGCAGATGTCTTTTCTTCAAGGGCAGAGAACTGCTTGCTGTCCTTGCTCTCTGACCAGATCATACAAAGCACTGTCTGCACCTGCATAAACTCCAGGCTACGCTGCAGCTGCAGGTTTGAACTCTGCAAAATGTCTTGTGATTGAGTTTTGGTTTTTCTTGGTCGTTTGAGTGTTAATATTTTGGGTATGGTCTCTTTTTATGAAAAATACATCAGTAAAAGTGCTTTTAGCATGTGCTTCAAAGCTACGTTTGACTGGGAACCTCAAAGCTCAATAGCCTGCATCTACAGAAATTCACTGCAGCCTGTGTAATGTTTGATGCATCATAATTTATTCCAGTCTATCTTGCAAATACATGTTTGTGCTACAATGTCATGCACAAACACAAACTATTAGATCCTTAAGATCAAACCTATGTCAAAATTGTGTCATTCTATTGGTCCATTCGAGTGTGTTAAGCCATCAGTTTCCTTATTGGAAACTAAGAATATTACATGAAATTGCTTGTTTGGCCAAAAATGGTAAATTATGTTATTTGGTAAAAAACATTAAAAACTACAATTTTCATGTGTCAAGTTTAGAATGAAAGCAATTTTACCTAAATTGCATGATTTAGTACTGTCAATAACAAGGAATCAAAAAAAGTGGTTATAATGGGTTTCAACTGGCCAAAAATAGCCACAATAGAGCCAAGAGTAACAATTTGATGTATAGTGTATATTATTGATATATTTAAGCAGCTGAAGTTAAAAATAAAAATAAAAATCAGAAAAAATCTAGACCCTTTGGAAGTTTAATTCCATTTGCATTAACACAGCAAAAATGGTTGAAAAACGAAAAGTGAAGTGGCCACAAATGGCCACCATAGAGCCTAGAGGATTAAGTGCTTGAACTTGTAGCTAAACATTTTGATCCAGATAACTGAGATCATGGCCCTGAAGATTACTTCAGTGAACTAGACCACACTCTAGTGGAGTTGCCACATCCATTCAAAGAATGAAAGCTAAAGTTGTTTCACAACTTGAGTCACAGCCTTCAAGAATCAGACATGACTACTGTGGGCTGCACCGGGCACTAAGAGAAGAATCCCATTGTCGTGCTGATAAGACCACATCAGTGGTTTCAGCATTCCAGTTAAAACTCTGCTCTCTTCTGCTGAGTGCAGTTCAAAGTCCAGCGTTTACAAGTGAGTCATTAATAAACAGACAATGCAACCAACAAGTAATATAAACTGAAATAAACGTCAGATAAAACAAAGAAGCCATAAACTTTGGCATTGGAAAGATGCCTGCAGCAGTTAAAATGAACCTTTGTGCTGCTTTGATGTTCATTATTATTTTATCAGTGGCTCCTTTTGAAGCACTGGAACTGGGTGTTTTCACACAGACTCCCACAGCAACAGGATCTTTAAAACTTTTAACAAACTGGACTGTGACGACTCAGGAAACCTGATCTGCAGCTGCTCATCATCATGGACAGCTGGATTTGGCTTGTTTTCACTCTGGGTAAGAAAAACTGAGCTTCTCGGTTTCTGACATTACCAGAGCCATTAGTTTGTTGAGTCAGGAGGTCATAATTGCACAATAACTCTCTCATTTTGAGTTTTCAAATAAAGTTTATATGTATGATCTATTAAGTTACACAGACAGCTTAGGATAAAATTTATTGTTTTTTGTTGCTCTTCTCAAACATAATACAAGCATCGATTTCATATAAGCATGAATAAGAGAATAATACTGATAATGTGTTATGTCTAAGTTCATTATTAATGAATACAAAATTAATGAGTATTATAAACTAGTTAGAATATACGGAGCCCCTGAAAGGTCAGGTATTTATTCATTTTTTTGTTTTTTAATTTTACATTTCTTCTGATCCACGTGAACAGTAAAATCTGTCCACACATAAAGTCAGGATACATTGCTGATACTGTCTTCCCATCTGGAGACGTTTTAAAGTGTTGTTATTGTTTTGTTATACATATATTGACCTCCGACAGCTGCTGTTCTTGAAGCTCTGGTCAGTGTATGGACTTCAGCTTATACTGTGTGTATTCAGTGTGTCACAGTCACTGTTACTGTCACAGACGTAACTGTAAAGTCAGTCACAGCTGCATTGTTTAATATGAAGGCAATAGGCAGAGTGTTACAGGCATGGCATGTATGAAGCATGTGAACATAATAATAACCACTGCAGCCAAAAAGAGTGCCTGACGAGCCCAGTTGTAAGTAAGCTGTTAAGACTCAACTGTACACTGTGTTCGTGTTTTCCTCCAAAACAATAAGTTTGTTGGAGCAGTATTTCAACACCTCTCTCTGTCTCTCGCTAGCAAAGTTGACCCAGACAGCTTGAATCCTGGAGAGAAGACTTATAGGAGAATATCTCCCTTGAAGAGTGGGAGAGGGCTTGCGCCAGGGCACAATCACAAACAGTGAACGCTCGTTTAAATCTCTTGCAGTACAGTTGGTTAATGCGTACGTATATGACTCCAGTCAAACTTAATGCTTTCTACAGTACCATTCCAGATGTTTGTATAAAATGCGACGAGGAAAAGGGCACACTTCTCCATTGTTTGTGGCAGTGTCCTGAAATTAGGAAATTCTGGGAAGAAGTGAAACAATGTACTGAAGAAATATTAGAAATAAAACTGCATTTAGAACCAAAACTTTTTTTGCTGGGCATCTATCCAGCTAACTGTAATATAACAAGGAAACATAGCTTATTTTTAGACATAGGGCTGCTGATGGCTAAGAGAGTGATTGCCATTACTCAGAAAGAGCTAGATAGACCGAGAAGAAGTAAATGGATTTCAGAGTTAACATCTACCCTGCCCTTAGAAAAGATCACCTACGCAATCAGGGGTAAGCGGCGATACTTTGATAGCATCTGGGGCCCCTTCAAAAACTTCCTTGCTAGTAAAGACTTGCCCCACTTGGTGGAAATATTTGGGAAGGATTCATAGGTGGCCCTCTGCTGGCCATTTGGGAATATGTTTATTGCTTGACATTGAACAACTACTTTCTAATTTACATTTAACATATACCTGTGAGGGTGCATAATTTATGGGAGATGCACACAGTTATTCCCCCCTTTTCTTTTTTTTTCTTTCCCTTGTTTGTTTGTTTTGCTTTTGTGTGTTGTTTTTGTAGTTTTGTCGTTACTGGGGTTTTTTTTTCTCATCCTCTCCTATATGGTGTTATGTGTATAAAGGCAGTATATGTAGCTTGTAGTTTCTGTAAGTTTAGCTTCTTGTTTTGTTACGTTTCATAGATATGTACACTGCTATGTTCAAAATAAATAAAGACACTGTTGGAAAAAAAAGTTGACCCAGACAACAAAGTAAAGGTAGTTTTCAGCTACAAGCCCAACACGGAACCCGACGTATTAGCCAGAAGTCCCTTTACTGCGGTTCGGAGCCACGGACCTGTGTTATATCCGCGCGGAATAGTTTTCTATACAAGATCGCTGCAAAAAGTGCAGTCTTACCTAATGTCCACCTTATATTAATTTCCTAAGACCCGAACTCTTTCATGGCATGCATTTTTAATTTCTCTTTGCTATTTGGGCTGATTGGGACCTGATGAATGTAAAAACAAAGAATTTCCACATATATATATATATATATATATATTTTACATGATTTTTGTTTCTGAGAAAAATTAGATCCACATATGAGGACATTTGTTTTAAATTTCGATAGAACAGTGGCAGTATAATGTCCTTGTAAGTGGATATCAGGCCTTGTAGAGCAAAATTTTGTACTTTGATCTAGACAACTGAAAATGTGATGTCCACATATGTGGACGCCAGGTCCTAGGAGGTTAAGATTTAAAAATGTAGTTGGTATTGGTATGGCGAGTAACCTTCAATATTAGTAATAAATCACACAACAATAGTACATTCATGTAGTTGTAAAAAGCATGATAATATATTAAGTATTCCAAAGTATTCAGAATACGTTACTCTCATTGAGTAACGTAACAGAATATGTTACAAAATATATTTTGGGGCATGTATTCTGTAATCTGTAGTGGAATACATTTTAAAAGTAACCTTCCCAACACTAATGATGACATACTAAGATCAGGTATAATGAAAACCATACGTGCTAAGTATCAGCATTCATAGCGCTTTTAATGAACTAACTGATCATTGCCCTTCTTGTGTGTTTCCCACAGCTGTTCCTTTAGCCTCCTTCACAGCTGGAGCAGGGTTAACTACAACAACAGACATCCCTGATACTGCTACTACTGCACTACTTCCTACTGATGTTCCTGATAATTCTACTACTGCACAAAATATAACTACTGAACAAAGCATTACAACTGTAACTCCAGGGGATATCACTACTATAACAACAGTTCCTAACAATACCACTTCATCTAATACTTCTAATTTCAGTACCACAACACAAGATACAGTTCCAACCACTGACTTGGAAACACCAGATTATCTAGAAACTCCTCCTGCTAGTGCCAGTCCTGTTCTTACAACTACAGATTTTACCAGGCCTGATACGACTGTTAGTCAGATAACTGATACTACCTCCAACCCCATGACTGATCAAATGAGTACTACTCACTATTCTTCTATGACTACTATTACAAGTGATACTAATACAACTACTCCTTACACTAACACTACTGCTACTTTCTACTCAACTACTGATGCAAATATTGCTACTTACAGTACTCCTACTACAATTGGTACTACGAGCCCATACACTAACAGTGCTTTACCTCCTAATCCTACAACAATTCCTTCAGCAAACACCACTCATTATAATTCAACTACTATACCTATTACTACTGCTAATACTACTACGACCACTATATCCCCAACTACGGTTACCCCTCCTACCACCACTGTCCTGAAATGTGATAATGGAGGGAAACCAGAGAACGGTGTCTGCATCTGTCCTGATGAATGGACTGGAATAACATGCTCAGAAGGTATGAAGTTTTACCGACTAGAGTCTGATGGGTCAAAAACATTCAGATGAGAACGAAAGAGAGAATGCCAGAGACCAAAAACTATAATTTGCTCAAAATGTCTAATGTACCAGCTGTAAGGATTTCTACAACCTGAAATCAAGTTCAGCATGTATTATTTAAAAGTCTTTTTTTCTTTTGTGATTAAAAACAAATAAAATTCCTAGTATTTTAAAAAACAAACAGAAAAAATATTTATTTTTAACAAACTTTTCGTAGAAAACTTCTGCGAAGAGCAGCAGTTAGGAGGCTTCAGGTTCCCTCGTACACCCATCGGCTGGTTTGCGTATTCTGAGGAAAAATGTGAAGTAGGGACGAGTGGTAGTAAGTCATCCACATCTTCCCTTCAGTCCAACATCACTCCTTCACGTAGACTCTAGTGTATTGATGTTTATCTTTCTATCACCATTTCCATTCAGCTGGTAAATCTAAATCTTCAGCCAGATGTTTGTCCATGAATGGATCACCAGGTTTCAGCCCTCCACAGATCTTCCAGTGTGACCTGACGCTCAGCGACATACAAAAAAATGTAAGAACAGCAGTTTTTTTTTCTTCTGAAGAAAGATTGAAAGTGTCATATGGCTGAAGTTTGAGTGAGGTAATCCTGTAGAAATGCAGCTCTGAGGTAACATGCAGATGATTCCAGATTCAGTAAAGAACCAGATGAGTAAAATCATGTCTTTCTTACCTCAGCTTACAAGTCCAGCTGATTTAGAGACACTGGCGACCAGCACTCAGATTCTGACATCAAAAGCAGAAGAGCTGACGGCTGAAAATGTTACAGCAGCGGCTGAGATTGTCAACACACTGCTGCTGTCTGCAAACGCCACAGAGGTACAAACATTCAGCAAATCGTAAGGGGGAAAAAAGAAAGTAAGATGTTAATCTCAGTTCATATTTGTGTCTGTGCAGAGTGTCAGAGTGTCAGCAGTAGCAACAGTCAGTCAGCTGCTGAACGCCACTGTAGCAGATGATACCAAGGAAAACAACGCAACTCTGGGGTAAACTAAATATGTAAATAAACAAATAAATAATCTCATCAGCAGTGAAGCTAAGACTGTTAAAAACTGCTGTAAAGGTGGCACTATGGGAAAGATCATTAAAATATTCATCATGAAACTACAGTCATGCTAGCAGTGCTGAGGTTAAACTGAAATACAAAGGAGCTTTGACCAAAGTGCTAACATCAGCTGTATCTATTTCCCTAAAGTTCTGTGAACCAGATTTAACTCATATTCAGTGATAATTCACTTTTTTCTATATTAGACGAACAACCAGTCTAAGCAGCTAAAGAAGCAGTATAAAGAAATATTTCACTGTGACACTGTTTTAAGAGTGTCAGCAGTCTTAGTCTTTCCTGTTCCAATTCAAACTGTACAGACCTCCAATTGTAAATATTCTCATTAGACCTTAAATATCTGTGGTATTCAGGTGAGTTTCCTTTTGAGATGAAAGTAATAAAGGTAAAGTTGAAGCTCTAAACTGACACTTATAGTTCAGGGGGAGCGGTAAGCCAAAAATGGACTGGTACAACTCAATATTATATACTGGGGCGATCGTGGCTCAAAGAGTTGGCAGTTCGTCTTGTAATTGGAAGGTTGCCGGTTCAAGCCCTGGCTCGACGGTCTCGGTCGTTGTGTCCTTGGGCAAGACACTTCACCTACCGCCTACTGGTGATGGCCAGAGGGGCCGATGGCGCAATATGGCAGCCTCGCTTCTGTCAGTGCGCCCCAGGGCAACTGTGGCTTACCTCCACCAGTGAGTGAATGAATAGTGGAATTGTACAGTGCTTTGAGGGCCCCGAAAAGCGCTATATAAATGCAATCCATTATAATATTAGAAACTACAAATCTGATTAAGACAAACAATGTTTTGTGTTTCTGTGTTTGTTTGTTTTATTATTATTTGTTGGGTTTTTTTGTTGTTGTTTTTTTTTTGGGGGGTCTTTTTTTTTATGTCCAGGCTTACGGTGACTCTGGACCAGCTCTCAGTGAACCTCAGCCTCAGTCAAAATACATCTCAATCTCAAGTGGTTCAGCCGAACCTGGTGGTCCAGTCGGCACAGATCCCTGCTGCAGACACTCACGGAGTCCAGTTCACCTCTCTCAGAGGTCAGTAAGAAACTGTGTCGAACAGCAGTGATCATCCCGTGGACTGGTTTTTATTAAATTATAAAGCATTCTAAAGCAAATACCTGCAGGTTTAATCAAATAATGTAACTGACAGATCTAAAAGCAAAGATTTGAACGCCGGAGAGACCAGGTTGGCTTCTACTTTGTAGTTTATTAACCAGGTTATGATTTCTACTTTACTTTCAGCAGTTGAACTCTTGAGTGAACTCTCAAGGTTGACATGTTTGCCCAGTTGACGGCTCTAAAGTCCAGCTGTGGTGATTTCTTATCTTCTGTATAAAGCAAGTTTGTTTGTGTCCTTTGATGGTTTTACCATTGTTGTTGTGCTCTGTGTCCTGTTCACTATTTAGTCTTTTTATTGCTGTATTTTTAACACGTGTGATGGACTCATGTTTACCGTGACTGAAAACACAAAATAGTTTTGAGACCTCCAAACTTGTGGGAGGATTATAAACCTGAACTCAACTTAATGATGTAAATAACTTGGCCTCACTCTCTAAATTTGCATGTAATAATGTATTTTTTCAGACTCAAAACACAGAAAACAACAATAAAAAAAAAACTTGATAAAGTCCTCAGAAACTAAAGATGAAGATAAGAATCTACCCGAGATTCTGTCTGCTTTTGTCAACTAGTATCACTTTGATCCAGTTAATTTGCCATTGAATAAATATGATCTGAACTCTTCTGTGGGACAGCTCCCAAGAATATTTTTATGGCTGAAGTCCATGGCTGGTGGTTCTTTATTGCTCTGCTGAAAAATAAAAAAAAGCAATAAAATTGTCAAATTCATCAAGATTTAAAAAGTAGTGCTCAACATTTCAAATGTCAGGATTAGAGTTCAATTCTTCGAGACTACTTCAAAGTTACAAAGAGATACTAGAAGCAAGTTACTTTCTCCAATCAGATAAAATAAAATGAAATGACCTTGTTTTCAAAAAATGGTGTTGTGAAGAAATTATCTTAAATTTGTTCTTAACTTTAATTTTAATCTGAACTTACACTTTAAAATTGAAGAACCGACAGTAAATTTGTACATTTTTGATGTGTTCACTGACATGCAGTCATCTTGTCACTACAGGGATTTCTGGGAATTTTTTGCCCAACAGAATTCATCTGAACACAAATGCAACACAGGTCGTGATGGAAAACAGTTTCATAGCTGATGCCCTCATTTACATACGATTCCCGCCAGGTGAGTCTGTCTTTTTAAAGCTGAAAAATGCTCTAATTTTAAAAAGTTCTTACTAATAGCAGTGGATTCTTTTCTCTCATGTTAGGCGAAGATGTCAGAAGTCGTCAAACAGACTTGAACGTCTCTCTGGGTTTTGTTCTCTATCAGAACGATCGTTTCTTTCGTTCAAAACACTACATGAGGCGACGGGCCACCATAAGGGTCCTGTCAGCCAGCATCAGAGGGCAGGAACCCAACATGGTGCCACAACATGTGGAGATGTTGTTCAGACCAAGAGTAAGAAATCCAGTATCTTCATTCATATATAAATCTAATGACTGATGTCTGCTGGTTATAATTTAATGTCTTTAGCACAGCTGCAGTTCCTCCTGCTGTTAATGGGGTAAAATTGGTCACAAAAGCTAACTTGTCCAGTCTGTATATGTTGTTCTGTATATTGTTGAGAATGGGTTTTGGTTTCTTGTTTTCGTGTGAGGAATGGATTTAAATGCTTTAAGTTGTAGGTACTGCAGAAAAAGTTTGCATGTTATGCATGTTAGTTCTGTATGGAGTGGAAGGATTTTTGCCAGGATATTATAATAAAAAATATGTTGTAGATGTGTTACCTTTAACAATCTGTATGTTAAAATACAATGATGTCATGTTGATATCAAATATACAATATCAGAATTGATTCAAAGCAAACACAAATACTGTAAGAAAAATATCAATAGTGTTAACAAAACAAAAGAAAAGCAAACAAACTGCACTAAAAATATGTGTTAAGTCTAAATGATCTAAATTAAAGGGCTGTCTGTGCGCTCCTGTTTCAGAACATCAGTGGGACGTCTCTGTACGACTTCTCCTGCGTTTTCTGGAACTACAGTCAGAAGGACTGGAGCACCAGCGGCTGCTCTAAAGGAAACACTTCAGATGGACTAATGAAATGTTTCTGTAACCACACCACCAACTTTGCTGCTCTCTGGGTGAGTATCACAACTCGGCAGACTGAAAGATGAAGCCACAGTTTGTTGATTCTTCATCAACAATTGCAAATTACAGATATTTAGTGAGACTTTTGATCATGTCTGTGTTTCAGTCATTCAGAGAGAACTACGAGTATGCAGAAGCTCTGGGTGCCATCTCCATCGTGGGACTCTCTCTTTCTTTTCTGGGTTTGATTGTGACGATCATTTATAACATTAAAGAAATGTAAGACTAGACCACCCCACCTCTGTTTTTATGTGTCATTTGACAAAAAGGTGTAGTTATCTAACAAGTTAAAATGTATTTGACTGCAACTAACATGCAGCAAACATGTTAGAAACAGAAGTGTTAGCTACAGAGTCAAAATTGGTCAAAAAAAATTGGTATGACAAAAACTGAGCCATAAATCTAGATATTTTATTTTTAATATTTTTAAATTATTTCTAGAACTTTTCTCCACATTTTTACAATGTAATATTTTAATAGTTTTAGGATCCTTCTACTACTACCCTAATGGTCATGCGTGGTCCAATCTTACCTTCTCAAAGTAGATAAATTAGATTTCTGGTCTGGATGCTGAAGTTAAACAGAAGGACAAATTGCTCCTGGGTTCTCCTTGATGTGAAACCAACACAGTTTGTTGCCCTGGGAAAAATAATTGGAAAATAACACCATCATTCAATCACCACTAGGTTCCAGAGGATACCCAAGGTCTGACCCAAATGTCCTTAGATTATATCTCCCCTTTAACTTAAATCTAAGGAGGAAAAAAAACAGAGTGAGTTTGAGAGTATTTGCAAAGAAGAATTTCAGAAAATCTCTCAATCGGGTGAGCAAAGCTTGTGGAATCATAATTACACAAACAAACTCAAGACTGTAACTGCTGCCAAAAGTGTCAACAAACAAAACGAAGGAGGTCTGAATTATATATAAAATAAAAACAAACAAAAAAAAGATATTTATTAATATTTTAGAATGAAAGAAAACAGAGAAAAAAGGTAATAATAATAATAATAATAATAATAATAACATTTAAAGAAATAACATGAATGCAATTTATTGTTTTGAGAAAAGTCAAACATTTTAAAGAGATTTTTACTTTGTATGACAAAAATAGCAATTAATTTTTGCAACATCACAATCTTGTTTTCAGCCTTTTATTAATTGATAATTTTTTTATGTCATATTTAAAATTACATTCCCGTGTATTTCTATTCTTTTACAGTTTTCCTGTAAGACTTCATATTATCATGTGTGACTTTTTCATTTTCATCTGTAGTTTTCAGAATGAACAGAAGAAAACCCTGATATCTCGGCTGTGCATCTACTTCAGCCTGCTGGCCTTCATCATCACCTTTGTCTCTGGAGTCCAAAACTCCAGCAGACAAATTGACATTGAGGTGCAGACTGACGATCGGACCAACGACTTCCTTGACTCGGATGAACGCATAGAACCAGACCGCGGTTCGTGTACGGCTGTAGCGGCTCTGCTGCACTTCCTCCTGATGGCCACCTTCATGTGGAACAGCGTGAATGGTACTCAGATCCTGATTCAGAAAATACGCCGCAGTCTACCACCTCACTGGACTCTGCTGGGCATGGCTCTGGGATGGGGTAAAACATTTATAAAGTGGGGACTTAAATCTGACAAGCTGTTTATTCTTGAAAACCCTTCACTCTGTCCCAATTAATGAATTATTGTGTTAGGAGTGCCAGCCTTGTTCATGGGCATCACACTGGGGGTGACCTACAGAGTGGACAATCCTCTGGGATACAGACAGGAGGAATTGTGGGTAATCACACAAACCACATTTATCTACTTTAGACAGACCTGTACTTCAAAATGAACAAAAGTCACATTTTTACCAATATTACAGTGTTGTTGTTGTTGTTGTATGATGCTACTAAAAGATGTTCAGTTTGATACAACCATTCTTTTCGATGTACCTATACAGCTTTTGTAATTTATTTTTTTTATCTTTACAAACTTTATTATAATTCCTTTTCGTTTTGATCAAAGTTTAGACAAAGTTATTTATTCATATTATTTGTATAATTCTTTTTCATGTCACTAAAGTTGCTGGCTGGCAGCGCTGGATAAGAACAAACACTTCAGCTTTGAGAAACCTTTGTTTTGGGGTTTCCTCCTTCCAGTTGGCCTGATCTTGATCTACAACATCATCCTGCTGGTTTATGTCTCACTTAAAGCAACCAGGAAGTCCTGCTTCAGGAAGAGTTTCCTTGAATGCTTCACTCTGGCTGTGTTACTGGGTGTGTCCTGGGTTTTTGGGTATCTGGTCCTCGTCACTTCAGGAAAAATGAACCTGGTCTTCAGCATTTTGTTCTGCCTCTGCACAACCACACAGGTAAGACTCTACCGGCTGATTTTATAACTTCAACTGAGAGATTAAATCAAAAGGTTCTTCAAGGGTTATACAATCAGCTTATCGTATTATTTTATTATTGTTATTTATCACATTAAAAGTTTTGGAGTGATTTATTTTTAACAACACAAAAGCACGGCATTTATACAGGGGTGTGTGCACTTTTTATGTCCACTGAATGTGTTTGTGTTTTGTGCTTTGCTTCAAGGAAAATTTTTGATTTTTGATTTTAATAATCTTCTCAGCAGCATATTAAACATATCAGGTCCCCATAAGGAGAATCACGTGCTAACGGCTGTCTAAATGACTCGGGTAAAGTTTGTAGCACGCGTGCTTGTTGCTTTTGTCTGCTTCCACTTGTCTTTGCACCAGGATGATGTTGGCGTAAATGTGCAGTCATATTCGTTGTGTTCCCACTAGTGCTGTCAGCATTAATCTTGTTAAAATGACATTAACGCCATAACGCGGCAAATCTCCATTAATGAGTTACCACGGATCACCCTGTGGGTGGGGCTGGACAGCATCAACACGTTAACGAGCTAACCGCGCTAACGCACTAGTTCCCACCAATGTAATTGAGCATTGCGTGGCACATCCGACATACTGTTTTACTTTTGTCCATGACGCGCTTACCATCAGGGTCATACTTCACATGAAAACCAAAATAGTTCCAAACGCCAGATCTGAATGAGGGTGGTGGAGGTTCAATTTCGGCTAGTGTTGAGGCAGTTGCCACGTTGCAACGAGCTTAACTTCTGTCTGGCTAGCCTGCGCTGCGCTCAGTGGATCTGCGCTCGACAGTGCAGCCTAGGCGGAGTAGTCGAACGCAGATCCACTGAGC